GGGCAGAGCGGGGTGGACGAGTGGCCCCGTCTCTGCGTCGGCCGGGGTTCGGGCTATGGCCAGGCCAGGGCTGCCGAGGCCCTGCAAGGTGCGTGCGGGGCAGGGGGCCCGGGGGTGTTTGGAGCTCCTCTTTGTCTGCACTCAGATCTTAGCTGTGTCTTTAGGTGCTTGATTAGATCCCCATTTGCTCGGATCGGGGAGGGGGGCTGTCCTCGCTGAGTGCGGAGCTGGTGATCCTCGTAACGACCCCTGAGGGGAGAGTCGGTCCTTCCGGCCCTGAATGCCTTTGCTTCCCTGGGCTTAGCCCGACCACCCTTCCTCAGGGTTCGGTTTGTGCGTGTCGGTAAGGGGCACCGCAGCGGGCTCTCGGTGCAAGGGTTCTTGGGCTGGATGTATCCGTGGTTTGTGCTGTTGCCGTCGTTTATTCTTAAAATCCCTAAAGCCTCGGTGTGTTTTTGTAGAGCTTGGTTTCAGTCTGGAGTGTATGTTCGTAGGTCAGCCCTTGACCGTGTCACTGGGTGAATTGCTGTATCTGTAGGATGCTGTGGGAATTAATGAAGCTTCCGACTGTAAAGACATGTTTTGTGAAATGAAAACTACAAGATTCAGGCCTTAATGGCAGCACTGGGCCCCCTTCTTGTTCTGAGAGCTGTAAATTACCTTTAACTCATCTGCCTCAGCATAAGGTCCTGGGATTAGTGGGCAGTGGTAGTCTTCAATTATGTCGTGAAATTCCTTGATGAAAATCAAAGTATATTTCTGTAATCAACAGGCACTGTCTTCTGGAAGGCTAACGGGAGTGGCTAAATTAACAAATGGAAGAAAACAGTAAGACCTTAATCATGAATGCTATCTAAGATTGAGTGTACGTGTGAGCATTTGGGAGCCTTATACTTGTCATACATCACAACTGGCCAGAATTCCTCTGCATGTATCAGAAAGAGTTTTTAGCTGAAAGGCATTATGGCCAGGTTCTAAGCAGTCCATGAGCAGACAGAATAAAATTTTTGCCTGTAGAAATACAGGGCTGACTCTCTCTCTCTTATTTATAAAAGATTGCATTTGTGTCCTTACTATCCGTATGTAAGACTGTTGATTAAAGACTGAGTTCACCTTTAACATAAGCTGTTAGTATTTGCTTAATACATTTGTTGCAGCAATGCAAAGTTTTCAGAAAGAGAAAGTTACTTTTTTTCCTGATGAAATTAATTTATTTTACTGTTATTGAATAAAAGTAAATGTTTTACCTTCCAGCATACTAAGGAGGTAGTACAGACAGTGGCATTGACTTTTTCAGGTTTGGCTTAAGAAAAGGATGTCATTCTGATGTGGAGTCTGGATACTCTCTCTATTCCACTGACTCTGATGATCAGGTAATTAAAGGACTTTTTAATACAGTCATCTCTTGTTATATGAAGAGAAGGGAAATAGGAATATCTAGAAAATCAGATTAATTTAGATACTGCTGCATCTGGAGTAGAAATAGCTCCTGCAAAGCTAGCAAGACTCTGTGCTGCATCTTGCAGGTACGTGCAAGTTGGCTTTGTATGCAGTGAGTTTGGCTCTGACAAATCTTGTTAAGGCACAGGATATATTTTACAAACACAACTATGATGGTCATGGACCTGAGCTAATCCTGGCAGAAGTATAGCCATATTTGTCAGGTTTTGTGCCAAAAAGTGAGTTGTGCGGAGTCAGTGCTGCAGCACTGTTTTCTGTGTAGTGCTGAGTCAGTTATCTCCAAAATAGAAATAGGTTGTAGGTAGTAACTTAGCTGTACATGGAAATGAGAATAAAACCCACACACATGCAATTACCGAAACATAAAATCCAGCAAATGGACATGCATGCAACAACATAATTTAGATTTTTTTGCAAAATTTGGGTGTTTGCACACTTTCGTGAAATTGCAGAGTGATAGTTGGAAGATGATATGGTTTTGCTGCTTATCGGGAGTTCTTTTTCAGGTGACAGAGTGGGGAACGCTCCCCTCCAAAATACTATCTTGGTTTCCTGAAAGGAAACAGTGATACTCATTTTCTGACTGCAATACTCTTTGTGCAGGTTAATACTATTCATAATGGACTTGACCGTTGTGCAGCTTTACTGAAGAATATCTTACAAAATGATGCTACAGGTGGTAACTATCGATAATTTGAGTTATGTTTTTAGTTTTTGTAAGACTGTGTTGATCTAATTTGTTGACTAATTTTTGTTTTGATTAATGTTAGGAAGGGAAACTATTCATAAACAACCTGGGAAAACAACTTCCGTCAAAAATACTTCCAAACTAATGAAAGGAAATACTTCCAAGAAGAAAGGGTTAAAAAAAAATATTACTCCTGGCCACATCCGAAAAGAAATTGGTAAGTGGGCTTTCTTAGGCTCATTTATTTCTCAGGCGTTGAGAGACTCCTCAGCTTCCTGAGGAGAGATATAACAAGGCTTCAGATAATTGTTGTTGTTTGTTATGGATTGATCCCAGGCTGGATCCACAATGGGATGTAGGCTTTACTCATTGCCTTTAGAAATCCTAAATGTTTACTAAACAGTTAGTAAAATTTACAAATGATTGAGCTTAATGTACCTGAAAGAACATTGTGTTGACAAACACCAACACCATCAAGTTTGGCTGTCAGGAAGTGTGGAGCGGAATGATAATACTCATGCCCCATTTCTCTTGGACAGGGAAGCACTATAGTGCTTAGTTTCTGGGATATACAGCTATTAACTGTCCTGGAGGTTGGTGTCCAGCCAGGCTGGACTGAACCAGTCCAACTGAACTCATGGTTCAGTTTCTGGAAGCAGGAAGGTGTTGGAATTATAAGACTTCAAGTGGTTTAGTGGCCAGAGCACTTGAATGGAAAAATAGATGGAGTGCTCTAACGTTGAGTTGCTCTTAGTTGGAATATTTCACTTCTTAGTGTTTCTTCCTCTCTCCACCCTGTTTCCTTTGTCTGATCTAGTAGGTAGGTGGGGCCTGTAGGTCAGGTGTGTAGCAGAACACCTATTTTGTGCATTGTAGAAGCTGAGCACATAGCTAGTATCTTTCCAGCACTGTAAAAATACGGCATTTTAATGATACCCAACACAAGAAAATTAGGTTTGGAGAGTGCTTTGGTTTGCGTTATTCCTAATGGGCTAAGAACTTAGGAAGCCCCTAAGCAGAGATTTTAAGAACTGTATTTTAGAACTGGCCTTCTGTAGGATTAAATCTCTGTGCTTCCTTCAAGGACAGCAGTCTGTCCAACTGGGTTAGGTTGTTCTGTCTGGAAGAAAAAGATGATGGATTAATTTTCTGGTGAGTAAAAAATCTGACTGGAATCTTAGGCCGAGAGGTCTTCTGGTTTTCTTTTTCAAAGGAGCCTGCCAGAGTCTGCCTGACAACACAATGCGTTTTTGTAGCTCAAGAAGACAGACAACTTCAGCTGTGTTTTTTGTTCCATCTTTCTCTATAGTGCCGGTGTCAAACAGAAAACTTGCCTTGTCCACCACACCTTCTGCTGAGAAGGAACTTTCCAGTACAGCACAGAATCAGATGGTTCAACCAATTCAGCTGTCTCAGAAACTGTGCGAGCATGTGCAAACTCAGATGTCTCTGATAACTGGCCAACCACCACAGAACAGCAATGAAATTCCTACTTTAACTCCTTTTCCTACCTCAAGTCATGGTTAGTGGAACTATTAACATAGAGCCTGCTGTTCTACTGGATGAATTTTACCCAATACTGTCCTGGTTTATGAGTATTGTTTTCTTTCAGGATGTCAAAATGGTACAGCTTTTAATTATCAATTGCCTACCTCCACATCAACTCTGTCCCTGCAACATTCAGCTAATCCCTTATCTACTAAGTCAGTAAGTAACAGTTAGATTCTGACTATTAATAAATGCTTTAAATTAGAGCTGCCTATTTATTTATACATTTGTTTAAGCGTGTGGGTTTTCTTGGGTTTATGTAATGATTTTCCTTAAAGAAAAATATTTGCATGTTTCAACCTATAGCGATGAAAAGAATAAATAATGAGGGAAAATACTGCTATTTGAACTGCATTTGATATACACACACCAAAAAATGAAGTCAGGCATATTTTAACTGGCAGCCTGTTTCTGCATGGTGTATTCTGTAACGGACCGCAAACATGGAAGGTGCAGGAAATTATTCATTGCTGTTAATAATTACAATACCAGTAATACCCATTAGGATCATTAACCAATTCCTGATAAATGAAATCATCTCTTATATGTAGCTTTATCGTGCTGATGATAAAGTTGATTATTTCTTCAGAAACGTGTATTATCTTAGAGCCACAATTCAAAATACATTTTTGAATACATTCAAGTCAGACAAGGGGGTTTTGGGTTTTTTTAAGATAAACAAACAATGAACTTGTTTTTAAAATACTAATATCTTTTATGCAGGATGTTCCAGTAGACTGTGGCAATGAATGCGTGCCAGCGATCGGAGCACCTGTGATGTGCCCGGTAGTTTCTGCTGCTCCTCCCACTGCTGCGCAAATACAGTCTGCCACCGCTCCTCCTCGTGTGATCTCCTGTATACCATCAGGTCCATCAGATAACTCTACAGTGCCTATGTTCGTCCCATTGTCTGCTGGCAGAGAGATGACCCCAAACCATGGGCAACAGATAAACGAAGCAGACTTGATAAGGTGCATACAAGCTCACTTGGCCCTGTTACAATCACATGAGATGATGAACAGCAGGACTGAACAGAAGTGCCATCATTGTCCAGCAAAACCTAATGCTTCAAGCAACAAGGAGGAGGATATTTCTGAAGAAGACAGGGAGGACATGGTCAGCGACGAAGATGAAATGAATGTACTTGATGTCGCCCCAGTGAGAGATAAAAGCTGTAAGGTGAATTTTGTGAAGAAAGTACAAAAAACCAGAATAGAAAGCCCAGAAGAAACAGACCATAAAGTTAAGACAGTAAAATACCTTCTGGGAGAGCTCAGAGCACTGGTAACAGATCAAGGTGAGGACATTTTTATTGTGCAGCGGGGTGATTACATACAAATAACACACGAGCTGCGTTAAATCAGTCAGCACTTCAGTTTCTGGTATGCAACATCTTAAGCGTCGTTTTCCACAACTTGAATAGCTTCATGTTTCACTCTGCGTAAGCATTACATTATTTTTTTTAGTATTTTAGCATTATTGTAACAGCTAGGATAACCATGGTCCTCATTTTATATACAGAGATTTCCCCTGAGAAAGGCAGTAGTGCAGACAGATTGCAATGTCAATCCCCCAAGCTTGGTCAGAGAAGATGATGGCTTCTGATTTATCAAGAACCTAAAGCATAGTTTTCATAGTTAAGCTTAAAAATTTTAAATAAATATAGTCAAAATAAAGGTAATGTTTTCTTGGAAAAAAAGTAGATACTATTATATCACTTTGTAGATTGCTTAATTGCGTATAAAATATTACTGTCATATTATAGGCTTACGTATTTATGGGGTCCTTTTTTTTTTTTCCACCCTCACCTCTTTCAGATGATTTGGAAATGTTAAGGTTGATGAGTGAAATAGAAGACAGCATATCATTGCTCCCAGCTGTAGTGGGAAGTACGAATATACAAGCTGAAATAGCACTAGCTTTACAGCCTCTCAGAAGTGAAAATGCCCAGCTACGTAGGTTAGTAACTCAGCGTATCCTTCTCTCTGAAAAGTGCGGTATCAACGCAGTTAGCCTGCTGATGTTCTTTGAAGCATGTTCTCAAATGCAAAGATGGCTCTCATGGCAGGGGAGCTCCCAGATACGTAAATGGGTAGAACTTCACTTCAGAACACGGGGAAAGATACTTACCAGAACTTGCAAAGGGTCTTTTGTGTTGAAGGAAGATATGAATGTAAGAAAAGTGCGTTATTAAAACTTTAATATTTCTGAAACTGTCTGTGACATTTAATTACCAGGAACACCTTCTTACTGAACTACTTCAAAATGCAGTTGTTTTGAACCTATTCTGAGCTTTCTGAATTTGTGCTTTTTCACAATTCATGTTTAGGAGAATAAGAATATTAAACCAGCAACTCTGGGAACGAGAACGAAGTGAAAAGGCAGCTGGACAGAGCTGCAACTATGAATGTAAGTGCTGATAGAGAATGATGCTTGTTAGGGGCAGTTATGTTAAGACTTTATTTAAATAGACATATAAAGATACAGATATCTAAATAAAAAATGCCAGTACGTATTGTGGCCTTTAGTGGCAACTGCATTAAGCATCGTGGGTGTAATTGTGAAACTGCATTTGCATGGGTGGTTGTGCCTGTTTAGACTCCACATAGTGAGACACAGCTTGTCAGCTGCCAAGCAGGTTATTTTTCCTTAGGTGTCTCTTAAAATGAAGATAAATAAGAAGGAAGCTTGAGTTCAATCTTGCTCCCTGGAAAAAACTTTGTAAGCAAAATTTATATTACTAGGATTATTTAAAAGCTCTGTTTGATTTAGAAATTCAAACTGTACCAAATACTTAAACGTTTTTACTCTTGACAGTAGTTTCTTTGCAGTCCTTGAATCTGATGCTCCAGAGTCAATTGAAGGAATCGCTGAAGGGCCTTGAGTCACTGCAGGCGAAAAATGAAGAACTACTTAAAATAATAGAAAGTCAGAAAGAAGAAAATAAACATCTTGCAAAAGTTATTCAAGATAAAGAACAAGAATTACTTGAAAACAAACAGCATTATGACATTCATTCCACAAAGCTCAAGATTGGTATGTATTTTGGATTCATTTATTATTCTTTTAGTGTTTTAAAACTTAAATAATTACACAAATTCATCTTGGCATTGTAGAAGTGGAAGAGGCATTAGCCAACGAGAAGAGCCTTCAGTTTAGGTTGGAAGCTTCAGAGAAAGAAAACAAGATTCTGGGCATAACATTACGTCAGCGTGATGCAGAAGTTAACAGACTGCGTGAGTTAACCAGGTACTGTTGGCTAAGCTATTTTTTTGCCTCCTGATATTGTGCTTTTTTAAATTTTTCATGCTTTGGATCATTGGATCACTGTATTATTTGTATCTTGGTGGTAGGTCACGTAGACTAAAACTTCTTTGTAGTTACTTTTGCTGCAGTGGTGCTGTAATTGAGTTTAAACGGTTGTCCTGCTCCGTGACTGGGGTTCTGTGGTGAAGTAAAATGTTGGCTGCTGTAATATGGGTGAAGTTCTAACTTAATAGCAGAGCTGCCGAGAAGGAGCTCCATGGGAAGTGTATGGACCTGAAAACCTACTGATACTTCCTGTGAAGCTGTAGAATTTAGAAACTGACTCTTACCCTGAATTAAGGAGGGATTATTTTTTTTCTCCTTTCTTTACACTGGTTCGGAAATTGGTCTGTTTTGAGAAGAACTCGGGGAAAGATCTGTCTTTGGGACCCACAGCAAGTTGTTCCTGTGGGAATGAGCAGTCCTTTCTTTGATTGTACACACATTTGAAGTACATTATGCCCAGATATTAATTACACATAGAGGTGGGAGTCCTTGGATCACTGAATAAAGGTGGTGTTACTCACAAATTTTTTGAACTATTTCTGTGAATTTATTTCGTCATGGCCTTTTATGATTAACACGGTGACGCTCTGGAGACTTAAAGAGCTTTTTGCACATGCAGAGTGGTGTACATATACAATGCATTTGAACATATGTGCATGGGAAGTTGAACTGTTGTCTGTTGTGTATATAGTCAGTACTGAGTGAAACGGCAGAGCATTTTTAATCAACGCTTCAGATTCGTTAGTTCAGACACATTACACACTTCTGTGACTATTGCACTGACTGACCACCAGATGGTAGTATTATGGTATCTTATAACATGTCTACATGTATATGCTACCTACACAAGCTTTTAAGTGTTTGGGTTTTTTGATGTAGCAAGTAGAAAATTCTTGCTGATTTTTTTAATTGTTTCTATATTGAAGTTTAAACTGAAAGTGGGGAGGTTTAGATTAGATATCAGGAAGAAGTTCTTCCCGGAGAGGGTGGTGAGGCACTGGCACAGGTTGCCCAGAGAAGCTGTGGATGCCCCATCCCTGGAAGTGTTCAAGGCCAGGCTGGATGTGGCTCTGAGCAACCTGGTCTAGTGGAAGGTGTCCCTGCCCATGGCAGGGGGGTTGGAACTGGATGGTCTTTAAGGTCCCTTCCAACCCAAACCATGCTGTGATGCTATGATTTTATATGCTTTATTAACAGTTCATTGACATCAATTTATTTCACTCTGTAGTACTCAAAGCAAGTAAATTGGGAATAATCTCAAAGTGGGTTGTGCTGCATTGTTTTATAGACATATTTAGTTGAAGAAAGAAATACAAGACACTTGGAATTGGTTCACGTTTATACTACATTTTATGACAATATATAGAAAGAGAATTGTAACTTTGCTGCAGTCTAAATCTAATCTTTTGGTTTTATATAAAAGGGCTTTTTTTTTTTTTTTTTGCTAAAAAGTACTTAATGTGATTAATTGATCTTAACAGAACCTTGCAGGGCAGTATGGCCAAGCTTCTGTCTGACCTCACAGTAGACAACATTAAACCCAAACCTGAAAAGGGTCTCTCGAAGTCTCTTTTGGAAGACCATGAAAAGCAGATGCAACCTGATCCGTTTCCTGGGAGTACTTCGGTAATGACCTACCTTAAAAAACTAGAAATGGATCATATTCTGACAGATAAGGAACTTCAGTGCTCAAATAAAAGTGGAGGACTAGAACTGCAAAATCTAGCTTATGAGAAGTTTGCTGCTGAAGGAGGTAAAATAAACAGTATGTTCTCAGAAGAAGGAACATCAGCTCCCAGGTTACTGCTAACCGCACTGAAGCACGATGCAGACACCGTTAGTGATTCTGGGACTTTACTAGATGAGCCAAACAAGTTGGATGAGACTCTTTATATTCCACTGACTAGCAGTGCCTCTAAAAAACAGCAGTCAATGTCTGAAAGAACTGCTGTGCTACCCCAAAGTAGAGGGGCTTGTAAGATGTTGGACTACCACCACGAACTCTCAAACTCAGTGCAGCAGAATGGATGTGAGACTGCAAAGGATCCAGCTATTCTGGATAAATTAAGTGCTGGGTACAGTGTGGAAAAGGTGCTGGAAAACACACTTGAAGTTACAGGGGATAAAGTGAATCCAGAAGGAGACAAAATCCAAATGAGGCCAAAGGGCACTCCAAGCGGGGCTGCAAAAATGTTCACAGACAAGCCAGACCAACCTCAGCCTGGTACATACTCTCACGTCCCGATGCTATTTCAGAAGGAGATTTCTCAGAAAAAAGGCAGTGCAATAGCTGATTTTAGTTCCATTTCGTTTGATGTATCAGGGAAGTCTGAATGGAGTGCATCTTCTTTCTCAACATTTACTTCTCAAGATGAAGAGGAATTCAGGAACAGCTTAGCGGCTTTGGATGCCAACATAGCTAGGTTACAAAGAACTCTGCAAAACAGCATTATGAAACAGTGAGTATGAGGAAACAAAATGGGATGCACTTGTTTGGACTATCTAGGCTTTTCTGAAGTATATTAAGTACGGTATCTATACAAATATTTGTATGTTTTGGTAGGATATTACTTGTTCTTAGCTGTTTAAATTATGGATGGCATTTGTTCCTCTTAAAGTGATGGTGCTGCTTCCCTTGATGTGTACAACTTGAAATAACTGATATACAGGCCTTTTTAAATTATGGCTTAGGTTTATACTGTTTCTAATTGCCAAATTAATTCTTAGAACAGTACTTGGTAACTAAGAAACTGGTGTGCTGTTAGCAATACAGTTTTTCTATTAAATGATAAAGTACGCTTGCGTGTTTTTTGTGTGCTTTTTTCAAAGTAGTAACAACAGCAATGACAGAATGAATGCCTTTGAAGTCAGTTACAGATGTGATAAAGAGGAATTCTTATTTCATTATAATTTGACTGTTAAAATTGGATGCATAGTTATTTTCCTTGGTTGTGACCATGTGTTTCAAGAAACTAGCTCCGTGTTCTGATTCACTGTGAAGGTGTGCAAACAGTAATGTCAGCGTCAAAGTAACAGAAGAGCAGGACTTCTTATTCAGCTGCATTGCTTCTTAATCCAAATAGGGTTTATTCAAGAAGTGGAAATTTAACTGGTGGAGGTGGAGGTGCCTTGAACATAAAGTGTTCAGCCTTGACTAGGTAGGTCTCTTCAAACTGGGTTTGGTTATTTTTTGAGAGGAACCTAGGTGCAGAAGGCTAAATTAAACTTCCTTGTTGGTGCTTTTTTTTGTTTCCTACTCTGAAGAACAAGTGCAAGGTACCTTACATGGGCAAGAGGCTCCACAGATAGAGGCCAGGGAAGAGCTCACTGCAGAACAGCTCTGTAGGAATGTTGAGAGTTATGAATGATAAGTCAGTATCATGCTAAAAAAAAATGCAGCCATCGTATGGGATTTGCAGTATATGGTAGATCCTACAAAATACATGAAGTAATCCTTTTCACTCATTGCTGGTAAACCTCAATTTTCAGTTTTGAGTATTGTACTTGAAGAAATAAGTTGATTAAGTGGAGAAGCCCAGGTGACGGCAAGAGAAAAACCATCAAAGTTCTTTTCTACAGTTCTGGTGTATGTCATTGTTTTTACAGATGTTTGGAGATTTTTTTTTTTTTCTTTTTTTTCTTTTTTTTTTTTTGGTCTAAAGTGAAAGAGGGTATAGTGCCAGTGGATAAACACAGAACAGCCCGATGCTGAGAAACAGAAGCAGTAACAGGCTTTAGCTGACACAAAGGAGACAAATGAGGCATTAGTGAAAGCTGAGAAAACCAGTAGTGTTAACAAAGCAGCAGAATATACAGTGCAGGGAAGTCATGGACATTCCACAGATGTTGAGGTGTTGGACAGTCTGGACCGAGTCACCCAACCTGGCTGTCATGGGAATGGAGTGAAGAAGGGGAATGGTTTCAACAGATCATTCCAGATCTCAGTGTCAAGAATGTGCATTGTGCAAGTTTTTAAGCTACAGGTATGGGAAGGTGGTGGTATCTTCTACGGCACGCTGCCATTCTGCTCCTTTTACACTCTTAGCAGTGCTTGAATGCTGTTTTTCATGACTCATGGTTTTCCAGGGAAAGCATCTTTGGAAAGGGAACAGCAGTATAAGGATCTGAATTGAAGACTTGGTTGCTTGTTTTTTGGTTTTGGGATTTTTTTCCTAGAAAACTTTACTGTGCTTCCTGATGCTGGCCCTTTATGTTTCCACGTAGGACAAAAGTCTCAAGTTTTGCCACTTTGAAGAACTTTATTTTTTTCCATGGTTGGTTGCGTGAATGAACACATTTTGAAGTTAGGGCACTGTCCTTACATTGTGCTGTAGAGCAGTTCTGTGATTATTTTAGTTACTAGTAACTGAGCAATGAAAAGGTATGAGGACAGCACATACTACAGAAGATGCCAACTGGCACTCCTGTGTCAAAAAAGGCAAGTTAGACTAAATAGTGACTTTAGTGATTTAGAATGCTTTTAAAGCTTGCCCTGGATTTCTTACTCTCCACACTATTCATGCTCAGATTCAAAATAAGGTTGATGGTATAACAGTGAACACGTTTTAATTAAATATTTACACGTGGTTTCAGTGTAGGAGCAAAGCAAGAGGTAAATGATTATGACATGGATTAAAGACAAGATGCAATAAATTCTAGTCTTTAAAACTCAAGAGAAGGCTGAGAGAAGATTGGAAGAATATTCGTTAGTAGATTAACTAATTCAGTTTTTTTGCAGCTAGGAGTGTTACTCCATTTGAAGGAGGATATTTGTCCTGGCCAAAGCTTGTTGCAATCTGCATAAAGCAGACGTGGTGTCAAGATGCCCAAGCACATTGTTCTCGCATTGAGAGCATTTACATTCACTTTTATCTCAACGGGGAAGATGTTACACTATCTTACTGTGTCATGTTCCTCTTTACAAAGTTAGTTCTAGCAAAGCATGAGATAATTACTGGAAAACCCTTTCTGGAATAATGAGATATGGGCAGGTTTGTAATGTGTATAGTTCTCCTAGAAGGAGGAGAAGCTAAGATGATGACACAGGAAGGGTCATCTTTAATACAGTTCTTTGTTTTGTACTAAGAGATGTACATCAGAGCTATGGGAACTTTAAATGAAACCTCAAATTCCCATTAGGAACGCACCCTGTTGTGAAAGAGAAAGCCAGCATGATCAAATATGTAAGCTGTTAAAAGATTGGAAAGGCTTCCAAGATTCAACCAAGGGGATTGACAAGGTTATTGAAAAGAAATCAGCATGACTGTAGTGTTCAGACAGGCTCAGCAGAGGACAAATAATGGTAACATCTCTTACAACACATTAAAAGAATGAGGTTCTACGTAGTAAATATCCCTGCAGAAAATAAAGGAAATCCTAGTATTTGCATGTTGTCACATACATATTTTGACCACTCAAATTTGCATGGTATCAGAAGTGCATAGTAAATAAGATCCCAAGAGCCCCAGTGGAGAGAAATATTTATCTTTGATGCCTAAAAGAGCTTCACAAATTGTTCTCATTCCTGTAGAAATCACCATGGACCAAAGGCATCCTCTTTTTCACCACCAATACTTGGAACACAAGTAGCTCATCCTGCAGCCTGTGTCACTGCTCTTCACCACTCAAGATATGACAAGTGCTTGTGATTGCATAAGTTGGGAGTTACTAGGGTTCGTCCTTATGCAAGCAAGTGGATCCTCAGGCCTGTGTCTTTAATGACTTACATTCCTCTCCATGCTATTTTAAAGAACTTCTCAGTCTGACCTAACTGGTTGAGCTTCCTGGCTACATTTCAACACCAAACTTTTTGTTTCCCTACCACCTAGTGACACTTGCTGAAAACTGTAACTTTCTATTTGGAGGTAGGATAGATTTTTTACTTGCATAAATCCAGCACTCATGCTGACTGCTCCAATAAGAGCAGTACAATCTTCAGTTGACTGCTGAGTTTGGCCACATCCCTACCATGAAGGACACTCATGACAGGTAGAGGAGTCAGAGTGCATTTGTGACACAGAATTCAAACTCCATTTCTGTCCAGGTTTATTAAGGATACTTGAGGATAGCTTGGAATAGGCAAGAGAATACAGTAATGGATTGGACCAAAGTGTCAACTGTGCAAGTAATTTCTGTGTTGCACATGGAATTTTGCTGTTGTTTCTAAGCAAAAAAGGTAGTATTTAAAATCAGGTGGCTATATGGTCTCAGAAGCATGGACCTCACTTGGAGCTGAAGGATCAGACAAAGGGTAACCAGGTGTGGTGCCTCAGTTTCTGCAGCCAGGGTGTGATGTCTGTATGAGCAAGGCTAACAGTAGCATCAACAGCTGTGAGATAGCAGAGATGGTTCAAAAGGACCCATCTCCATGTCTGAAGACCTGTGCTTCCACACCTGCTGTTTTATTGTGTCATGGAAAAGACAGCTTAAGATTTTCTTCCACTGCATTGGTAGTTGTTACAAGTTATTTTATATTTTCAATATTTACAAATGTTTACAGTTGAAACTTAAGACACCAAGTTGAGAAAAGCGCAGCTGAGGAGTTTTAATCACAGGTAGCTAGCAGATACAGCCTAGCAAGTGTTCAGCAGAACTTTACAGCTTGACCAGCAAAGCTGCATTCAGATTATGTCTCTCACTGTAATATAAGGGCTATACGAAATTTGTATATTGAACATGAAATCATTGTTCTGTGTTGAGTAATAGATGCTCTGAAACACCTCGTCTCTTCGAAGCATTAGCTTACATGGACCAGCACAGCAACTGCAACTTCAGTGATGTTAGCCTGCTCTAGATTTTTCTTGTAGCCACAGAAAGAAGACAGGACTTTCCTTTTTACAAAGCATATTCTGTAAAGTTGACATCTGCACTTTCCAGTCATGTGGAAAGGAACTCTTAAAACATGTTTCTTCAAGCTCTTAACAGTCAGTTTCCTTTTATGAATACTTTTCCTATGGAAAAGTGAAAAGATTGGGTAATAATACTCCAGAATCCAGGATTCCCGAGTTTAACCCATATATAGTTCCCTACTGTGACTTCTTGAGCAATGCATGTCTGTAATCCAGTGGCTCATTCGGAGAACTGGGGAATGGGGATAGGTCTCTGCAGACACTAAGGACTGCAGCCTTACTACTATGTCCAAATGGATCAAAGTCCTCGTAAGGAATGACAATGCCTTATTTGCTGAAGTGAAGCTGGGGCTGCATCTGTGTGTGTAAATAAGCACCTGGGACACCACTTGTGCTCAAGTGACACAGCTCTGTATGGGTGGAACGTTTTACAGCTCACAGTGCACTTTGCAGAATAACACTGATTGCCACTGGTACAAGTGGCCAAGTACCTTTCTTATGCCATTGACTTCCACAGGCATCCTTAACAAGGGTGAATTTTTTTCCTTAGAAGGGAAAGAAATACTTCCATGGCTAGAATCTGACTGGTAGAGAACTAAAAAAATTCTTTCAGGC